GCCATGCCATCATAATTCGGTGTTCTGAACAATATCGACTTTATCTGACTCTCTGACATGTTCATAACGCTGGCTGTGGTAATGATCGTTGTTATGAGGATCGAAAACCGGAAAACTGTCTAAACTGAACGCACGAACAACAACACCTACATGCATCGTTGAACTAACTTACTTACACATGCCATATTTCATTACCAGAATATGACAAGAATATTTTATTGATGTATAAGCTATTTATGGAATTGCAGATTTTATGCAGAATGCAGATTTTATCAAATAAATTAATGATGTTTCGACCCATACTTCGATCATATGAAGTATATATTTTATCTACGCAATGAAATAAAGAGTGAAACTGTTCAAGCAGATTCCAGTAGAATGTCAAGCTGATCGCGAAATAACCTGGCAGAATTTCATTAATAGCTACCGTAGAGAGATTGCTCAAATCCATGTTATTGTCTTAGTTGAAGCACCTGTGGTTCTGAAAGTTTTCCGATTTACACTTGGCGCTGACTGTCACAATGCAAAGCCAGCTGCTGCATCGAATGAGGTGAGGGTAAGTCTTCAGAGGCACTTGCATCTCAGAGTACAGCAATATTTCTCGTTCGTTCTTGTACTCTGGAATAGCCACATCAGTGCACTATGCTGTTTCTATTTTTCGCAGGTGAACGACTTGCTATTCGCTGACGTAGCTGACTGTTCCAAAATAATGTCTCGCTTTACACAGTTGGTGGATAGGAAACATTTTCTCCCTCTCTGACAGTGGAAAACGGAAGTTCTTCATTTCGAAGGCATAGACTGCGCTGCTGTGCTTCCAATAAATTTCGCGGTCTATATCGCGATCTAGACCGTGGTCATCTCCATCAACTGTAACATCCAACATAGCAAATTATATATCTGTGAGAAGCTCTCCGTGAGCACAATGTGAAACTTTTGTCAAATTAATGAATTTCGAAGGTTCTAAGATTTCGTTCATTATCAGACTTTCATTATTTATGTGTTAATATCTTCCAAAAGAACAACAAAAAACAAAACAAAATCACAAAGCGTCTGTCAAATTAAATGCAAAAATGTCAAATGATTTTACTAGTTTAAATCTTTTTAGAGTTTAAAGTTGAATTTTCATGGAAAAACGACGAGCTGATGTGTAAAATAAGTTTATATAGCAAAATTTGTATACAATATATAACATTATTGCGTCCTTTCGTAATTGTTCGCTATGCCACGAAATTATTAAGATTATCTCTATTATGATAGTGGTAGGCTCAAAAATAATTATCACTAGCGGCTATTGATTTAAATCCTGCCTCTTTCGTAAAAACAGTTTTTAATTTTTTCATTCAATGAACTGACTTAATAATAATTCTTCAAAACAGGTATTCTAGTTCAATGGTCAAAGGTATAAAGTCAAGAGGAATAAATTTATTTATGACAGGGTGTCGGAAACAACGAGGAGGTCTGTCACAATATATCAATAAAATGCGTATTTTCTGTAATAAACTTGAATATTTACGATTTTATCGGAATTGATATGGCAAATAGTGTAGGCAATACGCCATGTGCTAAAGATTTTGCCAGTTATATCTAAGGAAATTGCGCCTAAATAATATGGCTTTCCGCTCTCCAACAAAGTGACTGGACTGCGGCAAGCCGGTAACCGCAGGTGAAGTGCTCTGGAAGGCGCACTCTGAGCGTGCTGAATGGAGTGAACGGAGGGAGATCCTTTCGCAGGCAGCTTAGAGTTAATGACCTCAGCTGTATTAAGCTGAAGTCGTAATATTTTGATCAATTGTGAGTTTATTCAGTTAGTTAACAGCTCTTGCTCGTCAGAATGGATGCCATCTTGATCATGCCATTATCATGGATGGGCGGAGGCCCTTGTGCGTGATGGAATGAATTACTCCAGCTGTAGCAATGTGCTTATGCTTTGCTACTATTTGCGATATATAGTACATTTTGCATGGTGGTCAACTCCGGGCTGCCGCCGCAAAACCGTTGAGTTATTCATCTAATTGGCCATTGTTTTTATAACTTGTAATAGTTCTTATTACCGGTAAATAT